CTCCAAAAATGTATGCTGTCAGCTTTTCTGTATTATGCTTATATAGAAACACAAATTGCATCTCCAGGGAAGGAAATTAGGAGGGCTCTCTTAATAAAGCCTATATACTTAGGCTTCTTCACCTGCCAGGACATGGCCTCTTACCCTGAGGTAAAATCATGCAAATTGCTTTCTCAGTTACCTTATGTCTGCTGTCTTCCCTAAAGTTTTCATCATGAATATATCAAGGGGCCAGATGTGTGCTCAATTTTCACTTTGTTTCTTCCTGGGAGAATTCACTAGAGGTTAATTTACTGATCAAATTGCCACGTGAAAAGCAAAATATTCATAATGTAGAAGAAACTTTTCTGATTAGAAACAAAACCAAAAAGAAAACAAACATATTTTAAAATAAATAAACAGATTGTATTTGTTCCTGCCTTCTTTTTTGTAAGATTTACCAGGGCCATTTCTGTATCTATTTATGAGTCTGTGAAATCTTAGAGTTGTATGAAATTAAGCAGATGATAAGTTTTATTACTTTGAAAGCTGTTAGCATTCATTTTAATTTCCATTTATATTATGTAAGTCTTTACATGACTGTAACCAAACTGCAGGAACATTGAAAAGTTTTCTCCACTGTATCTTTTGTCTGAAGTGATCTGCAAGCTTTTCCAAAAATGCAACCTGCCAGAAAAATGTACAGTCAGTGGCAGGTCTGTTGTCTATTTTGACAATTCCTCCTTTTGTCTTCTTTTGACCTTATTGACAGTCTTTTCCTTACTTGTTATTTTTTTCAGTTCTTATTGGCATAAGTTTGCTATGAAAGATGTACATACAAAGCAGCCTGGGACACTGTATTATTTGCATGTTTTGGGGTGGGAGAGAGAGACGTGAGAATATAGAATTAAAAATGACTCATTTATACCATCCACATTTATTATTTATTTGATTCTTGATTTGGAGCAAGTGAGAGAGATTAGATTTTGTTTCTGTGGCATCTTTTTAATATGAAATCCAAAAGATCCTGCGTTGATAATGAAACGATCGAAGTATAATTTTTTTTTTTTGCTAACGAATGCAGTGATGTTAACAATTAGGTTTTAAAGACAAATATGAAAAACATTATAGTTTTATTTATTTAATACTAAATATAAAATATCATGTGAAAATTCTGAATCCAAGAAAGTATTCATTTGCAAAAAATCTCAGCCAAAGCTAAGTACAACCAGCCAGTTATTGAACACTGGTCTGAACTTCACAGGATACGATAATTTATTTGAAAAATAGGAATTATGTAGGATAATGATTTAGAAAAACATTGTACAGCTCATGGCAATTCACAAGTATTGGTCACCTAGGATGAAATACTGGTAACAAATCTGCGTTTCAACTGTTGTCGCTAATTCAATATATTCTATATCGTAAGTAGGATTAGAGACTGCTGAAAGCATCTGCTTCAACAAAATACTTTTTCTCTAGCTGCCCATTAAGCAGGGAAAAGGGATAAGAATAAACCTGACAAAATATAGGGACAAGCCAGTGAACTACAGAAAGTCTTAGAGGAAAAAAAAAAAATTGAAAAAAAAAGGAGGTAAATTGCTCAGTAAATGTAGATATAAAACAATTATATCTAGCCTGAGACACTCTTTATAAAAGATTTAGTCCTTTGTGCTTTAAAAGATTTGTGATATTTCATTGAAAAAATTCCTGATTATGGAAAATTGAGGCCTGAACACATGCAAGGCATTAAGCTTTTCAGCAGTACAATAATTCCTTGTTATGTATTTGTACCTTTTCCATTACTGTACAGTAAATTTGCAGAGAATAGAACACATGGCATGTGGGGGCTTGGGGGGTTTTTTGTTTTGTTTCTTTACACTGCCAATGCTCCTACATATTGAGTTTTTTTCCTACCAAGAACATTAATATTCTAGTTTGATTTCAAATCCTTTCCTGAAAGTGTATTTTATCCTTTTGACTCCTCAGATACAAAGAATTATTAATAAATTTTAGGACCCAAGGTTTAAGAGCAAAGCAGTGAAATTATGTTTCTGGTATTGTTCCTACTTCCCATGGAGGCAACAAAAATCAGGCCAGTAAATTTACTTACCTGGACATTCAATATATTAACCTGATAATTTACCTGCATCTTTATATTTCTCTTTTTAGGGTTTTATCACTGGAATTATTGTACAGCTAATTACCTGGTTTGGTCACAATTCTTGGTAAAGACATCAGGGTTGAAATTAAAAATTGAATTAGACTTTGACAGTATTTCACGTAAGTTATGCTAACATCAGTCTTTTTTGGATTTTTTCCCAAAACAGAAATATCTCTGTTTTAATTTCAGCAGCCCGTATCCTTTTAGAGTTGTACTTATTTTTAAAAGACTAGCAGGAGAACCAATTTGTATCCTCTTCCTTTTTGCATGAGGGAAAAAAAACATTTTATAGAAGGCTACACCAGTGTGTTGCTCTGAGTGAAAGGTTTTAGCAGATCAGAAATTAGGACAGGAAATCATAATTATTTATTCTGATACCACGTTTTTACAGAGATAAAGTTATGTTCACAGTGAGGTCTTTAAATTTACTTCCTTTTGACTTGCTTTTTCCATGTTCTTGTTCATCTTTTCTCTTTAAGAATGTTATTTTTGCAGGGAGAGAGGGAATTTGCTGGAGGAGGTTTAAAAGCAAAACTTGAGAATTCTCTCTGATGAGAGATTACTTTCATTTTACCAACTTTCAGCCACCAAGATATGAAGTCCCAGACCCTGTTTTGTGTGTGTAAGATACAGTGTTCAAAGTTACAAGCAGTAAATATGGCTGCAGTGTATTAATAAAGAAGCAATTTCAACATTTTTACTGTGGGTACTGTGCTATGGAATAAACAGTTTATATGTCCACTGTTTATCTAAAAATACCAATTTATTCATGCTGAAATTGTCCTCCAGTGGGTTTAAGGGACCAATTTGGGGAAAAGGAAGTCTGATGAGTAGTTTTCTCATGTCACATGTTCCCTATTCATACCTATTATTTTCTGTTACCTTTCTTCCCAAGGACACTCCTTCCCTCCCCTGCAAAAAGTGACCTGCCTTTCTCTTGGTAAGCTCATAAGGCAACAAAATGCTGTTACTAACCCTATTTCCTCTGCAGCCAGTTTTCCCCTTATGCTGCAACTAACATGTAAAACTGAGAGCAGAGAGATAGATCCTCACCCATGGGTGTCTGCGACTGCTATATTGACAGGCAGTGGAGAGGTCCTGCAGGCAGCAGGCAGTGTTGCTACCAGTTGATCATAGAGCTGAAAGCCCAGTCCAGGTGAAAGACCCTAGCAGGGCTGTGGGGAAATGCCACCAGGACATCTAGGAGATGTCCATATGATTTCTTTGTCTCTGTTTTCAACATGTACAATCAGCATTAATACATGTGCTTAGGAGGAAAAAGAGTAAGTGAGGAGGACTTTACTACAAATAATATAAAGACTTCAGAAGTCAAATTTGTACACTGTAAGGTCTTTTTTGCGAAGCTGATGATGTTTGGGACTGGTTTGGAGATTTAATTAAAGCTGCTATTTAACATTCATACTGCACCTGTGCCTAGAAGCCGAGCAAACAGATGCCCCAAAATTCTAGGCACTACTGTAAATTAAACTTCTTAAACATATGTGCAAAAAAAAAAAGGACCATTAGCACTTCCTATTTCTGACTTTAATATTTTAGTACGTTTTCAGTTTCTTGTTCTCCTGAATCTTGAAAGGAGATTTGGTTTCTTCAATTGGCATAAATTACAGTGCAACTGGGAGATTTCAGATTTGAGATCTCATCCTCTGCTAATATCGTCCAGTGCTTTATTTAACTCAGGAGGAACACAGCAGTTATTTTATTTACATAGCCTAATTATTGCACTTGCTCTGTTTGGCAGCTATTAGAGTATTATTGCTAAATTTATTGATACACCTGCTACTGGCTTGATTGTTGTGGAGAAAGATTTCTGCTTACACAACTCAAATTTTGAGTATTTGTATATTACACAACTACTAGTACCCTCACTTTTATGAGCAACTACAGAACAGTTTTCGGGATAACCTGAAAGACTGGTGAAAAAAAATAAAGAAAGTTTGAAGTTCTTTTACCTGAGTTTAGATAAAAATAAACCAATGCTGTGAATTTAAAATTGGTGGGTGTTAAACACTTTTTATCTTAACATGTGGGTTTAGAAAAACTGGAAATCATTTCTGAAAATCCTACCTAGCAAACTAATGTTTTCCTATAAATACAGCATATATACAGCTCTCAGGGACTTGATCGTGGTCAAGGTATGGACACTCAAATAAACAACAGAATGCTCATAATGGATATTTTTCAGAAGTTCCAGTGGATTTTATTAGAAGTAGTTACACGTCAAACTTGCATGATTTTTTTTCTTCTTTTTTGTTTTGCTTTCTGTTTAATCCAAGGAGAGAAAAATGTCATGGCCTTGAATAGCTGTTAGTCATGTTAGTCATATATACTGATCCTATTTTCTTCAGTCCCACCGCTTCCTTTGAAAATTCACCAAAGATGCTACAGTTACTTAGATCATCTACATGTAAGGACTAGGCTGACACAGGAGCTAAAGCTACAGAGAGGCAGGGACAAAGCATTGTTCCTGCATGGGATTCCATTAAACCAGCAGGCACACATTCACCCATCCACATTCGTTCACAGGTTTGGAGCCTTGACCTAACTTTTTATTAAAGTAAAACGCTATTGTAAAGTGAACTTTTCCAATGAAAATAAAACTTTCTTTCCAGTTTGTTTGTTTTTTTGTTTTTTTCCTTCACAGCGTCTCTTTCCTAGGAGTCTCGTTAGTTCAGTGCTGTGTCACCATTGTCACCATTTCATTTAGTACATTTATTTTATCATGAGCTTCTTTTCTTGTATCATCATAAATGTTTTTGTTTGAATGTCTGTATGCTCTTAGAAGCCAATACTGTGCAGATGCACATATTTGCTACTTTTTTGTTTTTTTTTCTTTCAGGTAATATCAAAATTATCAAACAAGTCTACATTACCTCAGGTATGTTAGTCATATTTTAACTATGCCAAGACTGAGTTTGCAACATGTACCTTGTTACCACCAGAGCAAAGCTGGAAAAAGTCCAAATGACTTCCATGGTTTCAGAATGAGATTTTAAATAGCATCCTGCAGATAGTTCTGCCACTGTCTGTTTTATGAGTAAGAGCTTATGATCTTTCCTTCCAGGTGCCGGGCTTGGATATCCTACTATAGCACCTGCATTTTAAATACATGCCATTTTAAATACATTACCCAAGCCAAAGTTTTGAATACAGGTAACATTCATTCCCTGTGAGTAGAGGCTGCATCACTGCCAGATCCTGTACAATCTGATCATCATGACAGCCTTCACATGACTACTGTGATTTACAACAATGTTGTTATATTTTATATAGATGGGTCTTTTGCCACTGTTTTACATTTTTACCTTTTCATGCATCTCAAATGGAAAGAACCTAGTTCACTAGATCTGTCAATGTATACTAAGAGAAAAGCATTCATTCACTGAAAGCGTGCTGTAGCACACAGCAAAATTAAATCCATGCTGGAAAACATTTAGACGAATACCAATAGCTACTAAGAACATTTGGATAAATGCCCCAAATCTGCGTTTTCATTTCCACCCAGCCAATCTTACTTGGCCTGAATATGGGAGATTTGACTACACAAGCTCCTCTGAGGTTTTCTATCTAAAGTTAGCAGTGCCTTAATCAAGCTTGATTAAGAGGGCTAGCCCAAAAAAAAAATAAAATAATACCAACCCTTTCTGAAACCATGAATTTGCATTTGCCTGTACTTTTTACTCAGATGTATGGAATTTTTAATTTGACCTGGAGCCTGATTCTGCCTTTGTCCAATTACCTATTACCAATAAGTACCAAGTTGTACCATGGGAATAAATGGAACTGGTTTTGAGTTATGAACTGATCCTGACATGAGCTTCATGTTGGCATATCTCAGCACCCATGGCCAGTGTATTTTGTTACCATGAAACAATAACAATCAATATATTGCTCTCTTAGACTGTGCTTTAATTAGTACATAAAGTGAAGAACCCAAGTCTGTGTTGCTACTGAATTGCCTTGTTTCCAACATCAAGCATTCAAATTGCAGTTTTTCTAAGAACAGATATAGCTCTGCTTTTTAATGGCTCAGCTCTGAAGCTGACAATGCCACACCAGTGGTGCATTAATGGGACTTTATATAAACTGAAAAACCTGCCTACTACCCTACCAGTGTTTTCAGTTACAACTAAGAAGGAAACAGAAGACATTCAGGCTTGAGTTGAACTCATGTAAATGTTATTAGTAGGTTATAAATATGAATAAATACAGATATGTTCCATAGGTAAATGTGGATTTATATGAATTACCAGCCTCATTTTTTTCCCTTATTCCACAGGATGTCTGATAGTGTAACATTCAAAAGAAATAACACCTCAGTAAAGCAAGATTAATCTATTCAAACGTATAGATGGCACATGGCTTGTAAGAGCTGGTCATGTAATCTTTCCTGGTAACAAAACTTATTGCAGAGAGTTCAGTGACCACATTGCTACTGACCTATTTTAATTTGTATTTTTCTTACATATGCACATTTAGCGATAGTTGAGGAGGAAAGTTATGGAAGAGTTCCAAAAGAGATACCTCTAATGAGAAATGAAAGCTGTGCTGGACCTGAGTTTGTTCCAGGATGAATACTAGAAGAGATTCTATTTCTGAAACATCAGACTCTGAATTTTCCATTAATATGTAAAAATCTGCTATTTTAGACAGAGCTCAAGGGAAATGGAAATATAAAGAAGAGACTTCCTTCAATTGTGGAAGATGAAGATGAGGATGAGGAGGGAGAAGAAGAGAGCAGCACCCTGTCACCAATCCATACAAGAAGCACAAATTTCTCTCAGCAGAAGAAAGCTGGAAGCAATAAAAGCCACCTAGGGAGAAATTTGAAGCAGTTGGCATCAGGAACGGTACCTTTTCATTCACCTATCCGCGCTTGCAGTTCAAACCCCACAAGAGCCAAACATGAAACGGAGCTCCATTACTACTCCAGAAGGAAGGAGAAAAACCTTAGGTTACAGCTTTCAGCACTAACCAGCAGTGGTCCACCTGACCTGAGCCCAAGGTAATAGTTACAAATCATTACACTCTCTCATGTAACTCCTATAACATATATCATATATGTGTGTGTGTGTATCATGATTGTAATGTTATAAAACATTTCTTTTTCTTTAGTAGTTCATGCTTTTGATCCTACAATAAGAAGGAAAGCCTTCATATTGTAGAAACCATTACACACTATGCAGAATGTTAAGACTTTAGTCCTTTGTTGCAAAATAAAGTATTTCTACCAGTAAAAGGTGAAAGTATAAAGCAATTACAAAAACTATTATTTCAATAGTCTGGCTTTATGGTATCGTTTTGTCCATCTATAATGATATGCATTCCCACAATAGCACTGTGAAACATTCTGAGTCCATCAGAAAGAGAACAATTTAGAAAGCAACTAGACGATTATAAAGCTTAGCTGTGTAAATAAAAAGGGTCCTGGAGGACTGTAATAGAAAATGCCATTTTAGAGGAAAAAAACATGGGTTTTTACATTAGAAAAAGGAAAATTTATAATGTAGGTGATGTAGAGAATAAATACGGAGTTGAGAAAATCTTTTAGCTGTGACCTCTGGCATAAACACGCGTTGTATAACAGGTTATTGTGGAATTATTCGTGTATGATTTAAAATTTTTACTTGCATGTTACTTGTAAGGTGATTTATGTATCTTATTTCTAAATCACTGCACCACAGTAATTAACTATACACTGAGATCAGTTCTTTCCAGAAATCACAATCACTTTTTCACATACAAGGAGCTGCAGCAGTTGATCTTCCAGTTCAAGTTTTGATTTCTAGAATTTGAAGTATTTTACATGTTCAAGAATTTCCCTTACAGAGTGGTAGTTTCAACAACTAAACATAAAATAGCCACAGCTTGAGCAGTATTTGTTTAGCTCTGTCAAGGCACCTGCCCCTAGGAATACAATCATAAGTAGGACACTGAAACCTATATAGAAATCTTTCCCCCTCATCATATATTTGATTAGTACTGTTACATTTCATATAGGAGCTGGGTACAAACTGAGTTTAGTTTTGTCAATACAGGAGAAAATAGTCTGCAGAAAACCAGCTTCTATACTAGAAAAATTGAAATTCATAGTAGGTATTTTCTCATTTCTTTCATAAACCTCATATGATATTGATTCAGGTCAGCTATGATAAAAGGTCATTATCATTTGCATAACGAGTGGTAATTCAGGGAAAAGCTACCTGTCACATTTTCTGCTTGAATCTTTCTTATTATTGTTCTGAACATATGCAGCCAAATACTGGCACTAAAGGCTGCAAGATTAAATGTGAAACAAGTATTGTTATGTATACTATTATTTCCTATTTACATTTATGATTTTCTAATTGCAGAGTAATCCTGTGAATATTGGCCCAAGACATGTGTTTTTCAGACTTTAGCTTTCCAGCCAAAACACTTTCATGTTATTTCCCAGAATGAGTTTATATTATTAGAATATTTAAACTGACAAGTTAAAACCACTTTAAAAAGAGCCTTAAAAAAAGAATTAAAAAGAAAATAAGACCTTAATTAAGACTCTCCCTTTTCTTTGCTGTTAGACAGCAGTGCAAAGGAAAGGCAAGACTCTGGATGAAATGTCCAGTCAGTGCAGTTTTGAGATGTATAATCACACTTTCTCAAGAGAATATACTTTGTCTGGTTAAGAAATTTATTCTACTGCAGATGTTCCCTAGCGTAAACCACCCAGAACTCTTCACTGCTCTTCAGGTTCTTTCCTTCTACACCACAGAGAAGATAATAAGCACAGAGACTAGGCAAAATATTTTAGCAGTTCTTGGTGCAAAGAACAGAATCCAGAATCCCAATTTGTAAGATACAATCAATGTCTTCCCAACCAATTTTTGGGTACTACCTATGAAGTAGAAAACCATCAAAAGGAAGAAAGTGTAAGTGATAATAAAGGTAGTCCTAGGAGGAGGCATTGATGCATTCAATTCCCCTAACACCGACAGGGGCAAGAGCACTGTAGCCCTGACTGACTGGATAGAAGAGGTCACACATTAACCTTTTCCAACTTTTTGACTTCTGAGATCAGAGTTGTCTCTCTTCAGGAGAAAATTCAGGCCTCTACAATAGCTAATTCAGAAAGGGTTGAGACTTACCAATTACTTTTTGTCCCCTCATGTTTTCAACTCACTGAATTATATTGCTGCACAGCCAGTTCCTTGTATAAGCATCTTTCCCATTCCATATTTCCCACCTAGGAGCCTGTATTTTGGCTTTCCAGAATGAGGTGGTTTATTGTTAATATGATTTTTAGTCTGACTTTTTAAACACTTTAAAGATTACAGCGTCTATAAATTCTAAGTCATGTTTGAGTAGGTTTTCCCCTGTGCACTTTAAAGGCAGCTAAAATGTTAGCATTTTATATAATTAGAAACCTCTACAAAAGGGATATTGGTGCATAAAATTTGCTTTTTGAAGCAGTGAGGCCAGATGACATTAAATAGGTTTTATAGCAAATTTCAAACAATGCAGTCATTCAGGTTTTCAGCTGCTGATAACAGTATAAACCAGAGCAGCTCAAGCACTGTATTTGAGTCTCATCTTCTCCCAGAAGCAGGTTAAAATTAGAGTGAAGGCTAGTAATATCCATCTGGCAGCATGAATAGTCAGACATGACACAGGGTCCTAAATCCACATGAAGAGCCAAGAAGGACAAGAATATATGGTATGCGCACAGAGCTTCAAGTTACATGAGTCTTTCAAGCCCAGTACATCATAGATATCTCTGTGTTGGCTGTTCTTCCTTTCTCCAAATATTTCCAGTCAAGAGGTTTACTTCGGAATGTTCTTATTAGCTGAAAAGTCTAATTTCCACTATCACAAAGTTATCACCATTGAATAAGAGGCCAAGAACTGTCTGCTTTAACTCTTCCAGATTATTATTTAACTCATCTGCTCACTGTAAAACAAATTTTGAATTTTGTGCCTGGACAAAGCAAGAAATTGATGCTCCATGTCTGTCAATTGGCAGTTTTCTCAGCTCTTCACTGAGTTTAAAACAGTTCTCTTTATAGCACAATTTATTGTAAATGAGAACAAAAAAAAATCCGTAATTATCTATAATTTAATAACGTGTGTTGATTCCTTCACCTGATACCAAGTTTTCTATTCTTGATTATTGTACAAAATGCTTTTTTTTCTTTGGATTTCTTGACAATGCAAATTGGAGGTCAGCTGTAATGCCTGAGTAGAAATAACTTACACAAATGTCTTTCCTATGAGTTAGATACAATACCAATACTAATGTGACTGGGATATTGCAGCCTGTCCTCATATCTTCCTACACCAAATTTGCAAATGACATTGCTTTGCCTGAGTTAGTTTTACCCAAATTTAAGAGTAGCTATTTGTATGGCAACAGTTTTGACTGCAGTTTGCAGAGATGCTTTCATAAATAAATTATGTTCAGGCTTAGCCTCTGCTTAAGCTAGCCAAACATAAGAGCCTGACTATTATGTACAGGGAGATTTAAATTTCACGAGACCATACTGAAGCATCTTTAGTTTGTGTGGAAGAAAGAATGGCAACAGATTAGATATGAACAGAAAAACAATACAGCTTTTGTTCAGAATCAGAATATACTGCAGAAGTCATGAAAATTTTGAAACTTCAGTTAATTACGTTTGGCCTCACATTCTTTTCTCTAACAGTAAACTTAATCTTTACTGACTCATAAGAGGTTATACCAGTATAATAGTTTTTACTTTTCTCTAAACTTAAAGTTGTGCAAAATTTACCATTGCTTAAAAATATGCCCTTTAGGAATAATTCTGACAACATAATTATGAACTTGATATTTATGAAACTGTTTATGAAACTGCTCCATCACTTTGATTTTTCTCAACAGAATTGTTGATGGTATTGAAGATGGAAACCATAATGTGGAAAACCAAACCTTTGACTTCAGCTCTGATCAGCTCAGGCAGGAATCCAGGTTATCTCCTACAATTGGAGGTGAGTTTTGCCTGGGAAAATCATTCTTCAGAGAAAACAATTTTCATAACTGCTTTTTGATCCCCTTTATTTCTTTGATCTCAGAAGTGGCATAAATGGATTTAACATATATTTGTACTTTCAATACCATTCCAGTACCATAATTGGTACTGTACAAAAATACAACAGGGTCCCAAAGGCCATTTGTCCTTTTCCTGGAAGCAGACAGTCATGATAAAAGAGCTTGCAAAGAATACTGTATTATAATGCATTATATTTTACCAGCAGTATTGTAGCATCAGCCAGTAGCCTCATGCTGCCAAACCTTAGGGCATGGAAGGTACTAAATATAAGAGGAAAATTTAACATAAAAAATATTATAATACCAAATTGAAAAAAAAAAAACATCTAACCACCCCCCCCCCCCCAAAAAAAACAAAAACAACTCATTAAAAAGCCATATACAATTTGGCTCTCAATTTTTGGTAAAGACACGGAGGAATGTGGATGTACCTAGATTTTTAGAAGTAACAAAAAAAAAAAAACCTGCACAGAAGAGGTTTCAGGAAGCCTTAAATGGTTTACATTTAAAAACTTGATAAAACAGCACCACAGAGGAATAGAGCATGTCAATATGCTGGTGTGTGTGAGGGAGAGAGATTGGAAGAAAGGGGAAGAGGGAGAAACCAGTGGACTAATGCACTAATGCTGAAGTGACACAACTAGTGCTGCTCAGACTGTTTTCAATATCCCCTGTTTTATGAGCAAACAGTTGTCACATAATTAAATACGTTTTGCATGGAGACTATTTATTTCCTCTTAAAGCCAAACAGAAGAATAGTAATACAAGATTATTTTTATCTATGTTTTTTAAAAACAGTTGACATGTCATATGGTTGGCATCAGGGTTATCATTTTCAGTTCTTTCAGATTCAGACTGAAAAGAGGAGTACGAACTTCATTTGTCACACTTTCCTTACATATTATACACTAGACATTAAGCACAAGATTTTACTTTCATTCAAAGTGCAAACTAGGTTTAAATTTAAAGCACTGGATAAGTGCAAGAATAGCATTGTTATTTCCAGATTATTATACTCCTGTCATTTACGTGCATTTGAATTATTTTCAGAGGCTGAAATTGGTGCTGCTGTGCTTGTTATCAAAGCAGAAGAGACCAAACAGCAGATCAGCAGGCTTAATAATGAGGTAATGAGCTTTTGTGACCACTGGGCAATATTAACAAGTCAAGGAATGCCGCAGAAAACTTGGAACATGATAAATGTGTGATAAATGATTTTGCAAAACTGGATGGGGTTCTTTCATGCAGCACAGTTTGGGGCTTTAAACTCTTTCCCGGATTAATTTTCTACATGGAAGCTATGTAAAAGTTTGTGCCATGTGCTATAGATAAAAACAAAGCAGGGCTAGCATAGTTAGTGTATCTAATTTTCTTAGGATTTGTCCTCTTGTGAATATGCTTCTTTTTCTCTCTTTCCTGTCATTCTTTCCTCAAGTTCCTTCTTCCAGCTTCTCTTGTCTTGGTGAATGCTATGCTTCTGGGGAATTTCCTTGAAAGAAATTCAATCCGTTCACGTACAAATGCATACCAAATGTTTCAAGTCACTTTACCTGTGCCTATTTGAATGAAACAGAAGCTCATCCATTCCTGCTCAAGAAGTATGACCTGAGGGGTGCAGGGCCAATATTGTTCAGTAGTGCTTTTCAGTCTTCCTTCCTAACAACTTGAAACCTGCAATCAGCTATCAATCTGACACTAATGTTCTCTGGCTAAACTGTTTCATACATTCATCCATCAGACTAACTTCACAGTTATACTGCAACACTAAAATCTATTCCCAGCATACTCGTCTTTCATTATGAAGAGATGAAAGACAATTTCTTACGACTCCACATAAGGAAATACTTAGATAAATCCAACCACAGAGTTTCATTTCTTTTCTGCTAATCCCTTTGGTTACCAGAAATGTCACGTTTTCTTTCTTTTTTCCTTCCTTCTACATTGTGTACACTTAATCTAGTGATATTTTATTTCCATATATGAATTATTAGGCTTTTAAACCTCAGTCAGGTTAAGTTGGTCAGATAACTTAAATGTTGTAATTTGACATGGTTAGTTAGTCTCTATGAATGTATCACCTCATATCTCAAGCTGTATTTTTCAGACAAAAGTCTCATGCCCCATTGACAACGGTTTTTATAAAGCTCAGTCAAAGAACTCAAAAATATCTCCAGGATGTTCACTGACAACATTATTAAGATAGAAAATTATATTTAGGCTTTCAGGCAAAAAAGAAGTCATCACCAGAAGATCCCTATCTTCTTTCCTCAGGAGTGTGACAGAAGCAGGTTCATCTATAGACTGTCTGTTGAGCAGGTATTAGGAGTCCTCTGTGTAAGAGGAAGATAATCTCTGGAGAGTACCACCAGCTTGGTGTGAGACAGAATTTGTTTTCACACTGTCTAACTGACAGGGGACTGCGTCAAGACAGAGTTCCAAGTACTAAAACTGAAAGCCAAACAAGGTTTTGGTAGGTTTAGACATCTTTTGGCAACACCTGAATTGATTTACATTTAACCTGGTTAGAGATACAACTACAGTAGCAGTAATGCAACCAGAAGATACAAATAGCACAATAATTTCAAGAAAACCTGAAAACAGCTGTTTAATCACAGCAGAGAAAGGTACTTTTTTTCTGATTACAGAACCTCACAAAAGTTATAGAATGATATAGACCTATATGAGGCTAAATTATAGAAAACCCTACGCTCTGGAAAACACACCAGAATTAGGCTAGGAACCTAAGGGAACATTTATATTCAACTCTGCAGTATCTCTAAGACTAATTTATTCCATGTTGTATAGAGTATATTACATAGAGTTACATCTACACTAGTGTAGACATGTTTAAAATAAAGATTGGGTTTGGTGCCCTGCAGCAGTTGAAAGGAGTATTCTCTACTTTCCAAGGTCATATTTTGTCTTCTAAGAAGTCCACTAGCAAAGAAAACAACATTCTGCATTCAGACCAAGCAAGAGTCTTAAGCATAGAAAGATTTACGTATGTCGGAATTCTCAATTCAACGTGACAATGCATGGGCATACAATATGCACAAATATAGGACTGGACATTAAAAAAAATAATATTAGAAGCAATTCTAAACTGGTGTAGATTTAGATTTCATAGGGAATGTTCTGGACTCAAATCCCAGAGACATATATTCTCCAAGTCCTCCCATGGATCAAAATTTACACTGAAAAAACTGCATAACTGTAAGCCTGCTTAATTGCATATTCTGTAAATATTCAAACATGCCCACTTGGAGTTTCTGAATGGACAGTACTGATTTGGTACTTACCCAAATTAGCCTATGAGTTCTGCTGGCTTACAATAGCTGTTTCTTGGGGGTTTTGTTGTTACATTAAGTACTGAACACTTGTAGACCCCATCCTTTCATCATTCCATCACTTGATGACTATTAATGGAAGATTACGACTGATGCTTCAGCAGACTGCCAGCAGTAGTTAAAATACTAGGAGAGTTAGAAACAAACCTATTAAGACATGCAACCTCCTGAAAAAGAAAATGCAAGAAAGCAGGTCACAAGTAGCCAACAGCAGCAAACATTACTACATTTTCCAGTGGAGGTCAGAAGTCAATCAACAAATGCCAAAATAAGTGCTTTCATGAAAAGCAATTATATTACAACAGTTCACTAGCTAGCTTAAAAACATTTCAGCTGTTCACTGGGAGAACAAAGACATGCATCTTCCTATTCAGACATTCAGTGCAGTCTGTTGTTAGCAAAGCAAAGCAAAACAAAATGTATCGAAGAGCTACCCCAGAGAAAAATCTACAGAACAAGCTATACTCAGCTTAGATATCCAGCAGAGCTCTTGGCAGTATTTTAGGCATATGGCATTCAATACATAATCCAAAAGAAAGTTCATTTACCTAAGAATGGGGATAACACGAGGCAGAACCTTGATTTCATTTTTCAGGGTTTGTTATGTACTAACTTTAGGACTAATGGATGGACAGAATAAGGAGGGTATGCTCTAATGTCAGCACTGTCTCTCTATTAGGCAATGTGAAAGAGACTTGAAACATACCCCAGATTCTTATTGTATAGCTCCATGGTTTGGCTGCTCAGCCATTTACTCATCTTCTTCAATCACTCACCTAACCTCACTTCTCATTTTGAGCTGGAACGAGATACAAGCTGATAAAATTTTCCTCCAGTTCAGTATTACAAGGTGAAGTCAAATATGACCATTTGATCTCCTACCCCATTTTCCCATTCCACTTAGTCTAAATAATCACTGAATAAAAAAGGCATGACTTTCATTGTAGTTTAGCATGTTCAGTATGTGGCAGGCCAGTCAGTATGTGGCAGGCTATTCAAACATATATGTACATGATTTCACACTCAGTTGTAGAGGACATCTTGCCCAGTGCATGCAGATGAACTCAGATTTCTGTTTCTCGTGTTTTGCCAATATGCAAACCAGCTCCAGTGCAGCCTCCTTTGGTCTCAGAATTTGTGGGCTGATCACATACTTTACCACATCACGAGACTGCACAATTACAGTACTAAAACTGTAGAATGAACAGAGTATTCACATTTCTCCCAATCAACTGAAAACACAAACAAACATAAGGAAATATGAATAGGGTCAGGTTTTCTACTAGAAAATTGCCTTCTATTTAGCAGCATCTTGGAGGACTTAGTGGAAATTCAGCTATTTTTTATTTGGGGTTTTTTTTCATGCAAGTGCTTAAAATATTCTAAGTGTTTGGCACTTATTCAGAACAGAGAAAATGCATTCACAGGGATATTTCACTTTCATATAACAAATGGAGCTATCTTAAATAAATGGGTTTATTTTCCAAATCACCTAAAGAAATTTTATAAATAAATTATTTTAGAACATATTTCACATCCAGCTGCCAAAAATCAATCTCATTCTCCTCTCAGGACAGGAAAAAAAGGTTTGTGTTTTTTTTTATCAAAACATATTCCTTGATACTAAAAATATGCGCACATGATGGAAACAGTCATTTTGTAATCAAGTGCCAACAAAGAAGGTTTGGTAGTTAAGTTATTCAGGCCTTCAGTTTTGCATAGGAAATGCACTGCTGAAGTTCAGTTTGCACCTTGAGGACTCCTATAAAGAATTAACCTGACTTACAGTAATTAAAAACATGTTATTTGTAACAAGTTCAACTATATTATCACATAGAATCATAGAATAGTTAGGGTTGGAAAGGACCTTAAGATCATCGAGTTCCAACCCCCCTGCCATGGGCAGGGACACCTCACTCTAAACCATATTACCCAAGGCCTCGTCCAACGTGGCCTTGAACAGTGCCAGGGATGAAGCATTCACAACCTCCCTGGTCAACCTATTCCAGTGCCTCACCACCCTAACAGGAAAGAATGTCCTCCTTAAATCCAATCTAAACTTCCCCTGTTTAAGTTTTAACCCATTATTTTGCAGCAAAGACATCCCAGTAAATCACTTTGCAAAATATCCTTCAATCAAGAAAAATGTGGCAAAAAGTCAACTAACAACATTTATTGATGATAAAAGTAATTACAACTAATATATCCATTTTGGATTTTAGCAATGAAAATTTAGCATAAAAGTCAAGACATAAAACCTAGTATTATTTGTGTTAAGAAATAAAAACCTTCTAAACCATAAATACCACATAAATATATTTTTGTTTACTGGGATTTGTAAAAATATATTTAGCATTGATATTTATATTTGCAGTGAACTCCTGCTTTGTTAGTCCCTCTCTCTGCTCTTGTAATTTAAGTACTGTACTCTTTCCAGGTCTGGGGTGTTTTTCTTCTTTTTAATGTAAGCTTAATACCTATTGACAAGTGAAGGTAACAAAAATAGCTGATGCTCTAAAGCTTAGGTTAATTTATTTTTTAAGCAGGGCATACAGCACATACATGGCATATAGGTCCTGTACACTGTGTTGTCTTTCTTGTGCTTTTCCTTGGTGGAAAGGCACCCGAAACAAATTAAGAGAGGAAGCCATGAACTGTAAAAAAATCAGCTGGGCACCAAGAGCTGACTTCAGATTTGAATTAAAAATATTACTACCATGACAGATGATGACAATTATTCGGTTCACTTTCTAATAAGCATTTCAAGCCCTTCCTGTACT